CTCCAGGGGCATGCGTTGTTCATAGCCTAGCCCCTCTTCCTCTTCCTTCTCATGCTCCCATGAACTGCTTGCAAACTGCCTTGTTTGCTGCTCTCAAGTAGCTCTGATTTTCTGTTTTGATATCCATGACTTCCAGATGAAGTAGTTTTTAGGAGAAAGGTGGTTGTAGCATACACATTAATGGCTATACAGATAGCTTCAGGTTGACAGACACTGAAATGACCATATTTTTCCAATAAATGTTCTGTGAAGGTGTGAGTTGTGAAACTCTGACCTCTTTCTGTAAAGTGTGCATTTACATATATTTAAAATTTATAAATCTTGACAGATTCCACATATTTGTAACCTTCTTGAGGGGGAAAAAAGCCTAAGGAAGGTTACAGATCTTTGCATCTGTGTCTCTGGATATGTTAAACTGAGTTTAAATAATACAGAAAAAAGTTGGCTTACCCGTTCTGCTTGGAACTTATTTTTGTTTTCCCTCCATCTGCTTTATTTAAAGAGATTGCATAGAAATAGTAATACTGAGCTTGAAAGCAGGAGAATTGTAACAAGGATTTACTCTTTACAGAATATTCCTAGTTACAGCTCGATGTTTAGAATCTGTCAGTTTAACAAACAGCATTCTGTTTTTCCAATTATGCTTTTTTCCTCTTTCTCCATGTTATATTTGAGTCCCAACGAATTGTTGTCAGTTTTAAAATTCAGATGTATTGATAGGAAATTGAGAGAGAGAAAAAGTATTTCTCTGAGTAGGTAGGAGGAAGTTGCCTCTGGGGAGGTCAGACTGAGTGCTTTAGTCCTTTTTCTTGCATTTCACATGAATATGTCAAAGAATGTGGCAGTGACCAAAATGGAAGCTCATTATCTGAGACCCAGCTCACGCAGTGGGTGTGATTGAAAAGCTGTAGAGCCTGAAGGCCTTTAGATAGAGAGAAACATAATTGTAATTATAAGAAAAAAAGTTTGACTAATTACTTGAGGGTCTTAAATTGATTCTTCCATCAATATGTGAATAGAACTCCCATTAACATGCACAGTTAAGCATATTCTTACACCTAGTTCTGCTTAATATAAATGTCGACACCTTGCTATCCAGCAGTGCTGTCCACTATAGCCCACTCAGTAACTGTCATTGATTTACAAAAATACAGAGCAGTTATTTACTTTATGAATGCAAAGCATCCTAAACATGAGTACTGATAAAAACCTAGATTAGATTGCCATGATTCAACATGGCTTCGAATATCTGATAGCTTGCAATGGCCTTTCAAAATATCCCCAGCCTACCAGTGAAGTAGCCTAAGTAAGGAAGAAGATTGTAGCATACAAACTAATACATCACAAGCCCAGGAGCAGAATAATTCACTTTCACCTTGCCTAAGAGGACAAGAGCAGTAAAAGCTTCACATTATTGGCAAGATTTTTTTTTACTTAACCTATGGTTCAAACCTCCAACCACCTTAGCAGCTTTCCAGCTGGAGCTGCTGACATCTCCCACCTAATCAAATGGTGGATTATCTTGTCCTGATAAATTGGAGCAGTGTCTGGTAAAAAGTCTTTCCTGAAGTACTCTGCTAACCTGTAGCTAATAGGGTGGCAGATATCTGGATCAATCCCCAAAGCTTGTACTACAAAGCGTATCTAATGATTTGTGGTGAACAGTGTAAATGTTTTAAGGGGAGACATTACTAAATAGGAACACAGTTAAGCATGATAAATGTGACGCCAGGAGAAATAAAAAGCATGAAAGCTATAGTGATGTTGTTTCACATAGAGTGTATGGAGTCTGTATTGTGAATTCTAAAGCACTCGCTCTAAAAGTGACTTTTTATGAAATGCACTTGTCCTGGAAAGGAATTCTCCTTGCTTGGCTGCTGTATTCTTTTAAAAAGAGGCAGAGTTATTCAGCCATTAGACACTTGCTCATTGTTTTGTGTGTGACTAGATTATTGGTCCAATACATTCAGGATAAATAAATTATTTTTCTTTCTCTAAAACCCACTAAGAAAAACACTTAAATTACAAAATCTAAGAAGCTATATGGTTTTTTCTTTTCTAATTTAATAAATCAAGCAAACAGGAAAAATCTAGTTAAGGCTGAGATACTCCCTTCAAGCATTTATTTTCTTTCTTCACTTTACTCCTGAACAATAGAGAGAGGTAGCCTGGCCTTCCTGAACAATAGAAATGCAATTCTAATGTGTCAAGCCAGGAAAGTCTCTATGTGCTGTAGGCAGTCATACAATGCTGCTAGTAAAGCTGTTCTGTTTTTCTTCCATAGGGGAATCCCTACATGTGCAATAATGAATGTGATGCAAGTACACAAGAGCTGGCACATCCACCTGAACTAATGTTTGATCTTGAAGGAAGACATCCCTCCACATTTTGGCAGTCTACAACTTGGAAGGACTACCCAAAGCCTCTCCATGTTAACATTACCCTCTCCTGGAACAAAACCATTGAATTAACAGATAACATAGTTATCACCTTTGAATCTGCACGTCCAGACCAAATGATCCTGGAGAAATCACTTGACTATGGGCGAACATGGCAACCCTACCAGTATTACGCTACAGACTGCTTAGATGCTTTCCATATGGATCCAAAATCAGTGAAGGATTTATCACAGCACACAGTTCTAGAAATCATTTGCACAGAAGAATATTCAACTGGGTACATGACAAATAGTAAAATAATCCACTTTGAAATCAAAGATAGGTTTGCATTTTTTGCTGGACCTCGGCTTCATAATATGGCTTCCCTGTATGGCCAGCTTGATACAACCAAGAAGCTAAGAGATTTTTTTACTATCACAGACCTGAGGCTAAGATTGTTAAGGCCAGCCACTGGAGAAATATATGTAGATGAGCAACATTTGGCACGCTACTTTTATGCAATCTCTGACATAAGGGTATATGGAAGGTAAGAGAACATATGCCTTTCAGAATGGGTATATATATTATTTTCCTTAGAGAATGATCAGATTTTTCCATTCCCCTAAATATTACAATTTTTTTTTTCCAGGATCTAGCTCAGTAAAAATCAGTTTCTGAAAGCAGTGGATATGTCTGATTCAGAAGTACTTAAGTCATTAGAGTTGTCCTGTCACTTGACAAATCTCTGTAGGTTTGAGTGGAATATGTTTTTTAAATCGGGTTAGCAATGTATATCCTTTTAGGTCTGGGAATGAAACACAACCCAATATAAGGAATGCTGCACTAGACTCTCCCTTCACATACTTAGGACCAGAGATCACAGAAATCAAAGGAGACAGATCACTGTGCTTTAATGCAGGCCCTTATTGTAAGGGGTAAGCAATATGAAGGCCTTGCATATATCTTTTCTTGAACTAAGGGGAACTTCTTTTTCTGAATTGTATAGTTGTGTGTTTAAGTTAATGAAGACCATGGAGGCTAGAACCCATTTAATATACTTTAGCTGATTCAAATAAAGATAAAGTAGAGAAATCAAACCAATATTTTGGAAAACAAAATATTGTAGGCCAATTAGGACAGAATAATAGGTACTGCACCCCAGATTAGGCAAATGAACTATCCTGGGTCCAGTAATGCTTTACACCAAGTGTCAGACCGATGAAGGACAGTTTTGAGCGAATATTCCTGTGGGTTAGCACTGACTGCTCCTGGAGATCATGAGTCAGTCAGGTTTGAATACATGGGGATAAAGCTTTTGGAATCCCACTAAGCTGGTGGAAAAGGTAATTCCTTTTATAAGTTTTAAATGTGATATTTTAAATTAATTGGATGCCACTTTATGCATGGGTCATAAAAGAGTTAAATATCTCTTTTGATACTATCATTTTACTTACTTTTTTGCATGTACCTCTTAGCCATACCCTCCATAAATTAAAGAATCCACAACTGTTTCTTAAAAATCTCAACAGCATTCGTGTACAAACAAAAAATCTACTTGTGGTACTAAAACTATAATGGAGGGATAAAGAATGTTACATACTTTAAAGTAATAAGTAAAGATAATTGACATTGACAACAGGATGATTATATAGCATACGTACTTCTAGGTTTGTTGTTATTTGGAAGGTTACATAAGAGGTTGTTTTTGATCTTTTATACAGAAGATTGCATGTGTCTAAGCATTTGCACACTTACAAGAAGATGTATTTTATCTGTTCAAAAGATTTCTGATAGAATTAAATTATTACAATTAAGTATATTGTTAATATTCATGTACACAAAGCAGGAAATCATTGTCATTTTCATGGCTTTGAATAGATCAACACTTTCTTAATCCAAGTATATATTTTAATGACCAATAGTTACAGAAGTCAGAATGGGTTGTTTTTTTTGCATAGCTTGCTTAAGTTCATAGCTACTATTATAATTGCTCCTTGCCAAATGTAAGTACATACATACTTACAGCCTCATTATTTGAAAAGATAAAATTATTGGGTGAATGTTTTTGTATCAAGATTTTTTGTGATATATACCCATGATATTGTGTAATTATTAGGAGTCTCATGGAAGTGTGAAACAGTAATTGATATAGCTGAATATATTACTAACTGTGTAGAAGAATTGCAGCATACATGTTAGTCAGTCATCAATTTCCGTTCTTCACTTTCTGCTTCCCTTTTCTGTAGGTTAGATATACTAACTAAAATCCTGGATCAGACTAAAACCATGGATTAAAAAATCTCACACTTTGAGAGACCACTGTGTCCCATCTGAAAAATCCATGTATTTTAGAAATTAAATCAGATCCAAAGAAGGATTTTAGCAAGGCTTTTGAAACGGTCTCCCACAACATTCTCACCATCAAGCCAAGGAAGTACGGGGTGGAGGAATAGACTGTAAGGTGGATAGAAAACTGGCTGGATAGTGGGGCTCAAAGAGTAGTAATTAATTAATGGCTCGATGTCTAGTTGGCAGCAAGTGTCAAGTAGAGTACCCCAGGGACTGGTCCTGGGGGTTGGTTTTGTTCAATATCTTCATCAACAATGTGGAAGATGGGATGGAGTGCACCGTCAGCAAGTTTGCAGATGGCACCAAGATGGGAGAGTAGTAGATACTCTGAAAGGTAGGGCTAGGATTCAGAGAGACCTAAGCAGATTGGAGGATTGGACCAAAAGAAATATCTTGAGGTCAATAAGGGCAAGTGCAGTCTTGCACTTAGGACAGAACAAGCCTATGCACTGGTACAGGCGGGGGACAGACTGACTAAGCAGCAGCTCTTCAGAAAAGAACCTGGGGGTTACAGTGGACAATAAAGTGAATATGAGCCAACAGCATAGCTTGTTGTGAAGAAGGCTAACCGCATACTGGGCTGCAATAGTAGGAGCATTCCCAGCAGTTTGAGGGAAGTGATTATTCTCCTGTATTCAGCACTGGTGAGGCCACATCTGAAGTACTGTGTCAAGTTTTGGGCCCCCACTCCAGAAAGATACAAACAAATTGGAGAGAATCCAGCAGCAGCGAAAGTGGTAAGGGGGATGGGGCACATTATTTATGAGGAGAAGCTGAGGGAATTGGGCATATCTCGTTTGGAGAAGAGAAGACTGAAGGGGGATTTAATAAGAGTTCAACTACCTAGAAGTTGGTTCCAATGAGGATGGAGCTAGACTGTTGTCAGTGGTGGCAGATAGCAGAACAAGGAGCAGTGGTGTAAAGTTGCACCGGGGAAGTTTACTTTAGATATTTAGAAAAACTTTCTCAGTAGGAGGGTAGTAAAGCACTGTGACAGGCTACTCAGAGAGATTGTGGAATCTTCATCCTTAGAAGTTTTTAAGACTTGGCTAGACAAAGCCTTGGTTAGAATGATATAGCTGGGTACGGTCCTGCTTTGAGCAGAAGGTTGGACTCGATGACCACTTGAGGTTCCTTCCAATCCTAATTTTCTGTTATTCTAAGGATTAGGTTGGCTCCAACAAGCATCACAGTGTCACAGTTCTAGGGCCAAATTCTAATTAAGTTGTAAGGTAGTTCATCTTAAGCACTGCAGTGCCTAAAACATAAGCACCCTGCACCAGAAGGGTAATCCAAAGCTGCAGATCCAAAGCTGCAACCACTGACTGAGGTTTTAAATAAAGTAGTTTACCATTGTGCTGAACCCATTCTTTAACTATGCAGTGGGTGTACTGTAAGCAGACTTATGGGATTGGACCATTTAGGGAATTTGGATAGCACTCTGCCTATTTTCCGGACCTTAATTGGACTTGGATAAGAGCTAGAAATCTAACTATTCCTGTCTGGACATACACGGGAGTGGAAACACAGGTACCTATGGAACTTTCAGGTAAAAAAAAATGTGACTCCAGGCTTAAACAGCTGTTGAGCAGGAAGTTTCAGATCACAATATGAATTTAAGCATCTAATATCTGTCTGAGTCTTTCCTTAGGTTGAGCTCTTCACCTGTGCCTTATCACAAAAATCGTTTTAAATAAAAAAGAGCATGTTACAAATGCATTACAATAAGAAGTCTTTCAAAACAGTTAAAAAACTGTATAGTAATCCTGTGACAAACTGGCGTTAAAAATTAAGTGTGACCGTATAGAGAACTTATCTGATGGTGACACTTGTTGGCTAAGCTCTAATCGGACAAACACTACAAAGGGGTTATCCAATATGTAATCCTATTTTAGTAGATTACGTTTGTGTGAATTCTTTATCGTTCTGCTGACAGAAATAAATCCACCACTTTCAGGGCTTTAGACTTTTCGTTTCTTTCTGAGGTATATGTTGATTGTCCTTGTATTAAATAAAATGGTTAATCCATCTCCAAGCACATGGGAAGGCATAGTTCACAATCCTTGACCATGGGCTACTCCGAAGGAGTGCACTGTCAGCTCCAGCAGAGAAGGGTACTCTGTTTGATTACTGCCTAAGTTCTGTAGGAAGCTATTCATAGAAGTTGCCCTGCAAAATCTAAGCAGCAGTAGTTTTCCCAGATGCCTTCATCCTTTACCAACCAAGCTGGTCTTGCTGACCAGGTGTGCATCTTAGTAGAGCCAGGATTGTAAGCAGTTTATTCCACTAGGTTTGCAAACCAACTAGATCTTCCACCAGTGGCACCTTAACCTAAGAAATTAATTTGGAATTTTTTTTTATAGATTTATTTTTAGCCACAAATTAACACTTTGGGCTTTAAAATCCTGGATTTGTATGTTAACAGTAGTTCAAGAAAGTTAGGCCTATTCCATACAGGTAGGGTACAGAGAGTCTGCTAAGCAGCTTGATATGCTGTGGATGAGTGATAGTAGCAGGCATCTTTTAGTGCTGTGTCTTTTGCTGTAAAATTAATCCATGGATTAAGTACAGTTAAAATAACCACTGATCATAACAGCATATTATAAAGGAAGTTGATTTCATATATAAATTCCTTCCTGTTGAATTTCAGGGATCAATGACTGTGCAAAGTACTTGTCTTAAAGCTGTCACATTAAATACACTGGTTATTTTCTTAATACTTCACAATGTAATAAACCTTGGAGATTTAACCATTTCATAAAGAATTTGTTTTCTCATTCAGTTGCATTTTGGTGTGAAATAAGCTAGATGCCTGTAGTATCAGAAATGAAAACCTATGTTTTCTTCATAAACACTTGAGCTCTTCTATTACCACTTGTTTATTCAACTTCCATTTACCACCTTTCATTTTGTGTTTATTAAGATAATGAAAAAAGGGGAAACATGGCTGTTAGCAATTTCAGCAACCCCATTGAGCTCATATTATTCAAGAAACCTAATAATCCACATGAACTAATTCTGACTTATGGATGGTCTGCTTCACTAAATCAGGGTGATTTTCTCTGGTGAATAATGGACGAGGGTAGTGCGCCAGTACCTTAATTAAAGAGAGCCTCTCTTAGTCTTGATCTCATTTTAATTTACAGGGTAATACTACAATAATATCACTAATGGAAGGTACATTAAAGGGCATCAAGT